ACCTGGATTGTGGAACACTCGTTGTGGTCCTCATGGGTCCCCTGACGAGGTGGGCGCAAAGTGAAGCACGAGATGATTTTCAGCTTCTCACGAGGCGGCATCCTGAATTGCTTCTCAGTATTCTTGAGCAGATCTAGCATCTCGAGCTTTCGGCGTCGAACGTCCTGAAGATGCAGTATCGCTGAGTAATTACAGGATTGGTAAAATACAGAACCGCATGAGAGATTGAATTAGATGTCCTCGGAAAGCAGCTGTCCCTTGCTTCTCGGTGCCCCAGCAGGATAAAGCATAGGCTTTAAGGGATCCTGGCAAAGAAGCGATTGTTTGCGGGGTGTTCATGCATATGCCTAGTACATACACATAGCCTCGTCCTCCTCTTCCTCCTCTTCCTCCTCATCATCCTCATCTTCCTCTTCTGTCCCGTCATCCTCAGCTGCTTCATCCGAGGATTTCATAAGAATCTTCTCTGCCTTCGTTTGCTTCAGCGGCTTCAACTTCTTGTTCTTTCTCCTCTTCCATCCTTCCGACTCCTCGCTGGAATGGAAGATCGACTCCGGATTGGGGGACTCGGCCTCCCTCTTCGAAGCCGGCTTGGAGCTGCGTGCCTTCTCCTCCTTGCGTCCTTTGTGCTTTGCCGGAGCGTCCTCTGGGCTGCTCGCCCGGGTTGTTTTTTTTTTCTCACGGCTCCTACCTCGCTTCTTTGTGGGTGGCTCATCATCGGAATCATTTTCTTCTTCCGAGGGCTTGGGCTTTGATTTGGCTTTGCTTTTTGCTTTGGCCGTTGCCTTCGATTTTGCCTTGGCTTTTCCTTTTGCTTTGGCCTTGGGCCTTCCTCTCCCCCTCTCCTTCAATCCTCCCCCCTCCGAATCCTCACTCTCTTCTCCCGGCTCGTGGTTGTTGTTCGCACGACGAAGCATCGCTCTCGTGGCTTGCTGAGCCTGGAAACCGAAATGCACACGATCAAAAATCAAGCAACAAACATCATGAAAATACCCGGCCTTGATGATATTCGCAGCATCGGGCCCAGCCATTCCATTCTTTTGTGCTTGCATATTCAAGCATGCCAAGAAAGCCGCAGCTTGCTCTTCAAAGCTTCCGGGGAGATCACAAAGAGGCCTTCGATCCTGCAACAAGAATCAGAAAATCCATAAGGATTCGGTATTGAATGTATGAATGCAACCAGGATTATCTTAAGTCCAAGTGTCCCCGAATGCTCCATTGTTTTTTTGAACCTGATCTTCCTCGTCCAAAGCCGTCCCTTTGGCTTCGCGCTCAGCTTCCTTCTTGAAGGTCTCCAGAGATTCCTCGAGGAAAGATTCAGATGGTGGAAGTTGAGAATCAGTACCGGTATCAACTACGATTCGTTTCCGCTCCTTTGCGCCATCCTTGTCTGTATCTTTCGAGGCCTTGGCATGCTCTTTACCTGCCTCCTTTTCCAAAGCTTTCCCTGAAACTGTCGAGATCTGGTTCTTCTTGGGCTCGGAATCCTTGTTCTCGATTCTGGGACCTCCTTCCTTTTCCGAAGCTTTCCCTGAATCTGTCAAGTTCTCTTTCTTCTTAGGCTCGGAATCCATATTCTTGGCCTGAGGATCCTCCTCCTTTTCCGAAGCTTTCCCTGAACCTGTCGAAGTCTCTTCTTTCTTGGGCTTGGAATCCGTATTCTTGGCCGTGGGATCCCCCTCCTTTTCCGAAGCTTTCACTGAACCTGTCGAAGTCTCTTCTTTCTCGGGCTTGGAATCCGTATTCTTGGTCTTGGGCTCCTCCTCCTTTTCCGAATCTTTCCCTGAACCTGCCGAAGTCTTTGGGGTCTTGGGCGTGTGATCCTCATCTTCGGTTTTGAGAACCTCCTCCTTTTCCAATTTTCCCTTTGCAACCTTTTGGGACTCCTCCTGCTTTTCCTCCCCCTCTTCATCATCCTCTTCTTCATCCACTTCCAAATCTTCCTCTTCCTCCCCATCTTCCTGTTCCTCTTCCTCCACCGGAAGCTTGTCCTCCTCATCTTCCTTTTCTTCTGTACTCGCTTTTGCCTCCATGTCAGGATAAGAATACAGAATCCACGAATATATTAAAATCATACTCCTAAATAGAACGACTCCCCCCACCTGTTTCCGTGGCCGGGATGATCTCACCATCTCCTTCAGCATCTCCAAGTTCGGAAGATTCGCCCTGAAGAATCATGGAAGTAAAAGCAATAATTATCGGCCCAACTTCTACAAGCCTCGTCTTCTCACTCTTGCGGGAGCGTAGGAGAATGTAGCTCACCATGGATCTTTGAACCTTTGCTTCTTCTTCAGCCCAAGCCTTCCGAAAAATAAGCGAACATCTAGATAGGATAGCGGGAGCGGTCTCCCAGCCTGTCGCATCAGCTTCTCCTCAGACTTCTTCACCAAAGGGTACTCTGCGCTGAGCTTGAGTAGCACAGCCTGCTATGTTTCAAAAACCAAGCGAAAGGCGAATAGAGGCGATGGGTTCAACTACCATGACTAGTAAAATCGTGTCGGAGGGACTTCCTGCTCCTTGGCTGTAGGAAGGTTGCTCGCGAAGGATGCCAGAAATCCCAAAAGGAATTCGAAGTTAGGAACACCATTGGCGCCTTCTTCGGCCTGAGAGCAGCAACCATGAACCATTTTCATAATGAATCGGACTATCTGAGGCTTCGACGAAATCAGCTTCTAGTTTTCCCTTTGGCGGTGCGTCCACCCAGGAGAAATCGAAGGGTGCCTTTTATGCTTATCGGATATAATCGCAATCTCACTTGAAGTCAAGATTCGGGCCTTGTTGGAGTCGAGTTTCGCTTGAGCCTTCTTCTTGCTTATCCCTTCTTTGTCTGCCATAGCTAGAAACCTTTCTTCACGGAGAGCCTTCCAGGCTGCTTTCTCTTTGTAAAACTCCTGATGTCAAGCAAAACGCTCCCTATAAACAGAAATGCAAACATGCGACAATCGGGCGCAGGTTCCTCCAGAAGAGCCATCCTGGCGGGATCCTTCTTCACCGTCGGCATGGCTGATGGAAAAAAACCCCTCTTCTATGTCTTGTAGATATGCGATGAACTTGTAGAATATCATGGGACCTCGCTACCTCCCTCACCAAGGGGCCTGAGCACTCATTAAAGAAATCACGGAAGCACAGCTGAAGCAACAGCGCTTTCAAAATATACAGCCCTTAAACCCCATGCCCCCTAAGCAAACCCCTCCCAAAGATGGTGGCTTCCAAAAAAGCTTGCCGAAATAGGATTTAGATAGGGTTCAGGAATCTGCAAGGTCCCAAGTAAGAACCCGTCAACATCATAAATCCTAAATCCTCTTATTGGAATCTGCCAGCAGGGTTGAAGGGGCGAACTCGAAGAATCATGATCTTGACGCTTCCTTCTTGTACCTGCCAAAGGTTTGGGGGAACTCTAGCTTTCAGGTCTTAGGGCGGGTTGGCGCACGTCGCCGAAGAGCCCGGAACATCTTCCATGGCCAACGAGAGCTCAGATTTCGGAACTTAGGATTTTTTGCATTGAGTAGCAGGAAATGATCGGACCCCACTGACCCACTTGTGGATCTTATCGGTGAGAGTTTAGGGTTTGGGGGCTTGGGTTTCGGATCCCAGTTGTGAGTCTTATCGACTTGAGATTAGGGTTTCGGGTTAAGGGGCTTCGGGTTTAAGGTTTCGGGTTTAGGGTTTCGGGCCTAGTGTTAAGGGGTTTCGGGTTTAAGGTTTCGGAAGTAGTTTCAGGTTTTGGGTTTAAGGTTCGGGTTTAGGGTTTAGGGTTTCGGGTTGAGGGTTTCGGCTTGAGGGTTTCGGGTTTATAAGGTTTCTGGTTTAAGGTTTAGGGTTTAGGTTTTCTGGTTTAGGGTTTGGGGTTCAGGGTTTCGAGTTCGGAATATCGGGCTTAAGGTTTCGGGTTTAGGTTTTAAGGTCTACAGATTCGGGCTGAGATATTGCAGGCTGCTCCATTTGCATGCATCTGAGCCTTGGGTTGTCCTTCGAAGCAAAGAACTCATCCTGACATGGGCGAAATTAAGGGATTTAGGCCTCAGATCTTAGGCTTGTAAGATTCACGAATTTATGGGGTCTCAGCAAGTAAACAAGGGATTTTAGCGGATCCGCCGAATCAAGGGCCTCGGGACGCCCAGGGTATACAAGTGTATATACATAAACTATAAATACATTTTATATATATATATATAGATTATATGTATATATGTATACATGTATATACATATATACATATTATATACATACACACATATTTCTACATACACAAATACTGAGAAGAAGTGGCATCAATCAGCTCAGTCCCTGGGCAACAACTTCAGTGGCTCAAGGCTTCGTGGCTAAATTCGGGTGTCGGATCTGGAGTCTCAGAAGCTCGGGGGTGTAATGTAGGGGCCTGAATAATTGGATTTTGGGGCCCCACTATACTATAATTTCAGTAAGGAACCCCTATAAAATAAAATAGGTAATTATTGAGGCTCCTATATTATGGGGGTTTAGGCTTCCCCTATAAAATAACGTCCCTCATGTCCTCTAAAGACTTTTCGAGTCTTAGACCTCCCCTGTTTGGGGGTGAACTAGATCTTGGAGGGTAGCACCATTGTTGGGAGGTTGCCTAGAAACATGGCGAGGATACTGTAATGGCAGAGCAAGGTATCCAAAAACTACTGCAATCCAAGGTTTAGGCAGGCTGGGCTTGAAGGGTTTTTGCGAAAAATTTTGGAGCAAGCTTTCCCAGTTTCTGGGACTGAGGACACGAGGAGTTCAGTAAAATATGTGACAAGAGGAGGGGAGGAGGGGGGGAGCGGGAGCTATGCTGCATCTGCCGATCAAGATTAATGGTGCGCAAGAACCCTTGACCCGAACAGCTGAGGCAGGCAATGTGCAGACAATTTATCGGACTTCGAGCAGGTTTCACCGTCTAAGGCTTAATGTTCTTCCCTAACCCTAAACCCTAAACCCTAAACCCCCAAACTCTTTACATTCCCATGGCTTGGTCCGAATGCCGTCCCAGATGCCTAATGTTTCGGATCTCCTGCTCCCGCAGCTTCACCCAGGCATAGAAAATGCCAAAGTGGTACTGCTGCTCAAAAGCCATCTCGTACATGTGGACATTCTCCTGAGCGAGATTCATCAAGGTCTCGCATAAGGTATAGCTATCCTAAACCCGAAACCCTAAACCCTAAACCCGAAACTCTGAACCCTAAACCCTAAACCCGAAACTCTAAACCCTAAACCCTAAGCCCGAAACTCAAAACCCTAAACCTTAAGCCCTAAGGGTCTCTGTAGGGTTTTGCTGGGCCTTCAGTAGGGGGGCCCTTACTGTTGATGGACAAAATCCTGCATGACCTTAAGGACCTTAAACTATGGGAATTATGATATATTCAACCTTATAATGGGTAATGCAGGATTTTGTCCATCAACAGTATGAACTCCAACAATGAATCGCCGAGGCGCAAAAGCCTTGGCGTCAGGTCGATCTCACGATAAATTCATGTAGAAGCCTTACCCTGAGCCTCTTTTTGCTGTTGTGGGCTTTCTAGGGGAAGGTTTGGGCTTTGAGGGCTAAGGTTTGGGCTTTCACTATGGGGGTCCATGAGCCTTAGGGTAATTTTTAGAATAGGGTTTTGGGGAGGTCTATTATACGAAATCTGTAATAAGGAACCCACAAAATAGTATAGGTAAGTATTGAGGCCCCTATATCACAGTAAAGCTCCAATCAGCTACTTATGGGGGCTCCCTACAGATCCTCTGCACAGGGGGGTTGTTGCGGGGACCCTTCCTAAAATACACAAAGAAGAAAGAATGGTTCTAGATTCTAGGAGGATCCTCGGTGCAATATGATAGGGAAACGCTACCAGAGGAAACATAGACCTCAATCCCTTTAACTTAGACCCAAGACCCCGAATCTCTAAAGACCTTCAACCCCATACTCTAAATCCGAAAACACGTATTCCCAAAGCATAAACCCAAACCACAAACAACGAATCGAATGTGATCCGCGAGCCTCATGTAGCAAGTGGCCTTAATAATGAGAACAGGGCTTTGGGGTATACCCTACTATAAATATAAGAAGGCCTCCCCCCAAAAACAAAAAATAGTATAGGTAAGTGTTTAGGCCCTTATACTAGGAACCAATCACAAACCCTAAGCCTCAAAGCCTAAACCTCAATGTCCGAAGCCTAGCCGACTTGTGACGGTGATATCCGAAAAGGCCAGGCAATCACAAGCCAGGCAGCACATATCTAGATTGATATTAACATGAATATTGTCGTGAGTAAGCATATTGGTGTGTAAGAAGATTGGAAATGATAATGGCACTGATACATTATTCTCCAATCATAGAAATAAAGATGATGACATTAATAGTGGTTTTTAGTAGCAACAACATAATCATAATCACGCCATCAGAACATCATAAACATCATAGTCGTAATGCTGATGATGATAGTCACAACAATAATCGTAGCAAGAGGGATAGCCATATTGATTGTAGCTGACCCATTCGTGTCAAGGTCTGACACTGGGTTGCATTCCGGACGGGTCCCGCACTTCGAACATCGATTCTGTGCTGGGAATGCTTGAATGTTTGTTCTTACTCACACCCCAAAGCGCTCAACTATCAGCCAAAGCCGGAACTAGGCTTGTTGTAGGTGTTCTGGCGTGCACTCAGAAACGAACACAGTCTGCCCAGCACTGCCAATCAAGCAAGGGTCTGCGTAGATCAAATCCTCAATGGACTGCGCTCCTGCACACGGGGGGTTTAGGTCTGTTGGAAAGCAGAGGGCACAGAGCTCTCCCGGTCAGCACCTTTGATCCAGGGGTTCTGTTTGAGAGTGCAGGGTAACCTTATGTCCACCTCCCGTAGATCACCGACGGCCTAAACCTCAAGCTGCAAACCCTAACAAAACCCGAAACCCAAAACACTAGATCCTAAACCCTAAACCCTATAAGCCCTAAACCCGAAACCTCTGTTTTCGTCTCCGAAGCCCAGAAATACAGCCATCGCGCTCACAAATCAGCAAAACGAGTGGCTTTAAACACTTCAGAAACCTCTGTTTGGGGTTTAGGGTTTAGGGTTTAGGGTTTGGGGTTTAGGGCTCAGGGCTTAGAGGTTAGGGCTTTGGGTTTAGGGTTGCTGGTGGGCAAGATTTCGCATTACAGTTTAGGGCTTAGGTTTTAAATCTGGCACAACCTTCCGTACTTTTAACAACTGAACTATGGTGTGTTGGGCAATGTCGCATTCTCTGTATCGGCAGTGTGGTCTAGTGGTTCGCCTTACAGCAAAGCCATTCCCAGTACATTGACTACTGTGGGGCCTTAATAATCAGAATGGGGTTTGGGTGCCTAGCATACTATAACTACAAAAAGGATTCCAGCCGGAATAATGTTAGCAATTTAGGCCATTTAGGCCTCTATATTATACACACCCTAAACCCTAAACCCACTCCAAAGCCCTCGTTCGTAGGTCCTGCGGGCGCGGCACGCGATCCCCCAGTCTCGGAGTCATAGAAGTCCTTGACCTACACATGGCGAGATCCAGAAAAACAGGGGCCTTCGACATTAGGGTTTAGGAAGTTTAGGGTTTTTTTTTTGGAGGGTGTATAGTATGCTTGAGTTCTTACTAGTAATTTTGCCATCACCAGCTATTCCGACACCAGTGTTACCACCACTGGTGCTGAGTAGGTAGGGACCCTCACCCGGTCCGAAGCACCAACCACGAAAGCTTCATAGACCCCTAAACCCTAAACCCAACAAGCCCTATACCTTAAAACCCCTGAACCCTATAAGCCCGAAGCCCTAAACCCTAAACCCTATAAGCCCTAAACCCTAAAAGCCCTAAACCCTACACACGAAAGCCCCAACGCCTCCCGCGCCTGCAACCCCAAAGACTCGTCAATACAGGCGAGCCGTAGCACTGGTTAGTTTAGGGTTTAGGGTTTAGGGTTTAGCTATCGGATAGCTAACTACGGAGTGAATAAGGCATAGGATTTAGGGTTTAGGGTTTACGGCACTGGTTAGAATAGTAGCGTCGCCGGAGAACTACAGTTCGACTACACGGGGGATAGGAGTTCAAGCGCCTATATCCTCATTACCGTCTTTCGCTTTGCGACACCTGATCGAAGAGGTGGAGGTACTTCGAATACCTGGGCAGGAAGAAGACATCCCCGGACTATTCAGACAGGGCACTAATGTAGGAGCCTTAATAAGTAGAATAGGGTTTGGGGGTCTATTCTACTGTAGTTATAACCAGGAAACCCCCAAAATAGCTTGGTAATTATTTAGGCCCCTACAGTATACAGAAAAATCCAAACCCTCCCCCCTTTCACAGGCCTTAGATTCTAGCCACACCTCTTGTTTCAGAGCATACGGTCTACGCGGGGTATTTTCAATACTGGCAGTTGCAGCACGACTCGCGAATACTCTGTAGCAAGCTGCCAGCAATGATCGGTTCCTTACAACTCGAAGAATGTTCAATATTTCAATGCAACCCCTGAATAACTTGCAAAGCCAGACTTTCCACCCTGTGGTCAAACAAGAGACATCAACATGCCGAACTGCTGAAATCCTGAAGCCCGCAACCCTAATCCTTAAACCCTAAACACCTCCAAACGAACCGCGGCAAAACTGAAAACAAAAAGCAAGTGAGGGATCCCAGTTAAAGGCCCGAAACCCTTTACCTTAAACCCTCAAGCTCTAAACCCTGTAACCCTAAACCCCACTGAAAACAAGAACGCAAAGACGTTGCAACTGCCCCACTGCCCCAGAACCTGAACCCGGAAGCCGGAGAAAGCCGCGAAACCAACCCTAAACCATCAAATGCGGGTTTTAGGGTTTAGGGTTTTGGGGTTTTGGGTTTGGGGGTTTAAGGTTTAGGGGTTTAGGGTTTTGGGTTTTTGGGTTCTGGGTTTTGGGGTTTAGGGTTTTGGGGTTTTGGGGTTTAGGGTTTCTGATAGAACTCTTTGGGTTTAAGAAGGGAGCCCAAAAAGGAAGAAAAGCAAAGGGTACTACTGGGGAAACTGGTGATAGAAGTACCCTAAGCCTAAGCCCCAAACCCTAAACCCTAAACCTCAAACCCTAAGACCCAAACCCTAAACCCTAAACTCAAAGCCCTAAACCACAAACCCTAAGCCCCAAACCCTAAGCCATAGAAGCCTCCAACCACAAATCTCAGACCCCAAAGCCCAAGCTGCGGCTCCAACGCGAACCGCACCGTGGACTCGTCATACGCCTGCCAGATGCGAAGGGCTTAGGCTTTAGGGTTTAGGGCTTAGGGTTTAGGGTTTAGGGTTTAAGGTAAACCCTAAACACTACACCCTGAACCCTAAATCCTGATGGGATTTAGGATCTATCCTAAACCCTAAACCCTAAACCCTTATGGGATTTAGGATCTAGCCCAAACCCTAAAGCCCTAAACCCTAAACCCCTAAACCCCTAAACCCTTAAACCCTAAACCCTATAAAAGTTAGGGTCTGTAGGGTTTTAGGGTTTCCTGCGCCTTCCAGAGGGCCTTCGTCCCCTCGGGGTAGAGATAGCCTCAGCCGTCTTCGTAATGTTGGGTTTAGGGTTTAGGGTTAAGGGTTAAGACATGGGGAAATAGGGCTCCTGTAAGGATTCCTTTTCAAGGCTTCTAGTACAACGGCTACTACAAGGGATACTGCGCCGGTCCGAAAGTTCGTCGCACTCTATGTTGTTTATTTACAACAAACCTCGCCAAACCCCCTTTCCCCCCTAGACTCCTCCAGAAGTCCTCCGCCCTGAACAATTATAATAGTATAATTTCAT